TTTTTTTTTTTTTTTTTTTTTTTTTTTCAGTTGCAATTTTATGGAATTGGGTTAGATTTCTGCTTTCTGTTTGTATTTCAGAAGAAAATAATTTGACGTTTTAATGGCCTTCTCTGATCTTATTACAAAATTTTAAGTAAAAGTAGAATTTTGTTCCTTAAGTATTTAGTCATATTTTCCTCATATTCTCAACAAACTGTCATAACTGAAATAATTTAACTGATAAAGAATGACAAATTAAATCACCAATAATTTTCTGTTGGTTTATAAAACAAGCTGCGTCCTGCATTCCACCAGTACACAAGAACAGAACTATGCATGGATTATTTATAAAATGTCAACAATTGCAAATCATAACTAAGAACCCTTGAGCCGAGTTGCAATCAATGAGTATTATAGAATGAATTATTTACTGCTGATGTCGTGTTGTAATACAGAGAGTGTAGCCATTGGAACAGCAGGGAGAAGAGAAATTAGAGGTAATAACTGTCAAAATAGAATTAGACAGTCTTACCTGGCATCTGTGGAAATTTCACCATAAAGAGCTAATCAGAGCTCAATCAAAATGGAATTTTTGTTTCATACAGGTGCACCTTGGATATTTTTGTGATATGTCTTCCAGCATCTAACAGAAATAAAATGTAGTACTACATCAAATTACATGTCACATCAATTTTAGCGCTTTCAGTGAAATCCACCCATTGGCTGATAAATTTCGTAGCATGTTTTCAGTTCTCATGTTGCAATGGCAGCAATATGAAAAATTGAATAGTGAAAGCTTTTGTGATTGATGCCAAATACAAACCATTTGAGAAATTGGAAAGAATCTCTGCATTGAAGCTGTACTTTGGAGTACACTACTTTTCTTAGAATTGTTTGGCTTTGTTTCTGATTGATAAACCATCAGAAACACCAATTGTTTGGTTGATCCCGTAATTGGTTGGGACATCTTGACCCCAAAAGACATGTAACTGAAGCTGAAATCATTCCAGAGTTTTAAGTAAAGCCAGTGGACAGGAAAGTCCAAACTTGACCACTTGAACTTGACAGACTGGTCTGAAGAAGAAAGGGACAGCTATGTTTTTTAGAGGCAACCTGGTGTGTGTCAGGCACCAGGACCACACTGTTTGGTAGGATAGGGAGTAGGGGCGCTCTCCGAGGCCTGACACGTCTGCAAGGTCTTCTACAGATCAAGGTTGACAAGCTGATCAGAAATGAAGTCAGCGGCCTGTGTATTTTGTTTTTTCATGCAGGTTCCAGTCAGTTTGCCACTAATAGTATAGTGACTGGAGTGATTGCTATCTGTGTGGAAACCTCCCCATGTTTTCCTAATGTCACCTCTGGATATATAAAGCACTGAGTTAGGTATGGGCCAGAGGACCCCAGTGAACAGAGCAAAGTAAGGCCAAACTTGAGGTGTATCAGCCCACCTTGTTCAGCTTCAGAGTTAAGTCCAATTTCAATGGAAAGTAAACCAGGGTTAGACTACCTTTGGAACGGCCACAA